TTAAAAGAAAATTTTCAATTTGGGGCATTTTTAGTTCGGGCAACACTGGTAGTGTCACCTAGCCTAAACTAGGCGACACGCCCCCCTTTGCCCCAAATTCATTTTTTCTATTTTAGGTCATTTTCTTAATAATTATTTTGAGCGACATTGCCAGTGTCTCCCAAATTTGTACCCTTTTTTTTTATATGTTTGACTCGGGATTTGTTGGTTATGGATGTATATCGTTTCCAACAGGTCCTGAGCCCTTGTATATCCTTTTTCGTGGCTACTTAAGGGTAGATGAAGTTAGAAACGGGAGATAGACAAATTTCTTCTGAAAAGGCTGAAAACCCTAGGAAAGAGTTTGCTTCAGAAACCCTAGCCTCCTAAAACCCTAACCTTAAGCCAAAAGCCTATATCTCTTGGGCACAACAACCCTAGTTCTAAAACCATTTCCAGGGCACAACAACCCTTCTACACCAAAGATTTCCTTGTCAACATCTGAATCAAAGAGGCAAAGAGAATGCCGGTGCTGATACGGGCGAGCCCTAGAAGGCTCGGGAGTCCCGGGACATCCGGCTCGATTTGGTATTGTTTTTTCTTCTTTGTTTCTTCTTTTTTTACTATTTTTACTCTAGTTTATTTATTTTGATCTGTTAATTTGCTTTAAAAATCTTATTTTAGTATTTTGGATCATGTTGGCTCTACCACAGATCTGAAAGTAGATATGCTAGTTTCCATGCAGATCTGGCCTAAGATCTGAATTCGATTTGTCCCACTTTCTCTACCACTGTATTTTCATAAGTTTAAGGTGTCAAAATCAGAGAGATCTTCCTCAGAAGATCTGTTAGATTTTCATTGTAAATAGGCGATCCTTTCATGAATGGCGGCAAGCTGTGCTCATCATTGATTGTGCACGACACTGAGCTATGCCTGTCGATGATCATACACAGTGATGACTTGGGCAGGAAAAGGTTGGTGAACAATGATGACGCCTGGCTTATGAAATCTGTTGAAAGCCAAGTCCTCCATCACAACTGTGAGCTCCTTGTTGTTTTGTGGAAGGCCCTTCACTATGAACAGGGTATGCTCTTCATCATAGGCCAGCTCCTTGCCAAAGAAGTCTGTTTTGTATGTTTAATATACTCTATCCAAAGCGCTTCCACCTTCTCCCGATGCTAGAGCAACTCTTGGCTTGTAACCATCCTCTTTTCCTTGGATGCAACATCAGCGCTAGGTGTCAACTGCTCTCTTTTCCTCTGAAGCAAGAGCAACACTCGAACTGTTCTCTTTTCCTCTAAAGCAAAAGAGACTTTTGATAATATATCCCTATAACATCCTTAATTATAGGTTTCTGATTGTGGCTTATAAGTTCTTCAATGAAAGAGTTGAGCTTTGCTAAATTGTCTTGCTTGTTTTCTTTTTATCATATTTTCCTTTATTTTATCCTTAACTCTTTTTTTGTTGCACATTGAGTCTTTTGAGCGTGTATCATGGATAATACTTCTTTAGGTATCGCCCATTGATGGGGGGCATTGCCTCCTTTCCATCAGGATGTGCTAGTATGTAAGCCCCATTTGGCAAGACCTTCTTGGCTATAAAAGGGCCTTCCCACTTAAGTTCAAAATTTTCTTTGCACTGCCCATGCATAACGATCGGCCTTTTAACGGCTAAAACCAGATTGCCCCGAGCAAATGAGCAGACCTTGACTGACTAGTCAAAGGCCCTCTTCATTCTCCCTTGGTTGAGTTCGAGGTTCTGTTGAGCTTTCAACCTCTTTTTGTCAAGTGCATCTAACTCTTGATAACGAAGCTTGACTCTCTAATCTTCGGTCAGTCCTTGATGTATGGAAACACGCAGCATGGGGATTTCAATCTCTAAGAGCAATACTACTTCACCCCCATAGACCAAGGAATAAGGAGTGGAATTGGTGGCATTTCGTGTGGTGGTGCGATAGGCCCACAACACTTCAAGAAGCTTCTCTTGCCATTTTTCTTCGCCTTTGATAACGAATTCCTTAAAATGCTGCATAGGGTCCTATTGAAAGCCTCAACTAAGTCGTTCGCCCGAGGGTGGTACATAGTTGAGTACTTCCACTCGAACTGAACTGGTTAACCAAGTGATCTATGTGATGACTTCTGAATTGAGGGCCATTGTCAGATGTAATCCGGTCAGGCACCCCAAACCGGAATATGATGTGATGTCACACGAATTTGGCCACCGTCGCCCCAAGAACTTGCTTGAAGGGGACCGCTTCAGCCCACTTGGAGATATAGTTTGTTGCTACTAGCATAAAGACATGACCCATTGCAAAAGGAGAGTCGATAGTTCCTACAATGTCCATACCCCTTGGTGAAAAGGGCCATGATGCCACTGTAGGGTGTAGGGGCTCTGGAGGCTGATGAATAAGGCTCGAGTGCATTTGGCACACCTGGCACCTCTTGGCATAGTTTCAGGAATCAGTAGCCATCGAAGGCCAATAATAGCACAATCTACGTATCCGTTCATAGAGCTTAGGGGCGGACTGATGCAATTCATAGATGTTTGAGTGTACATGTTCCAAAACCTTATCTACCTCTTATACGTCTACACATCTGAGAAGAATACCGTCAAAAGACCGTCTGACGAGAGCATCTCTTTCAAGGAGGGTGTACTTGGTAGACATTCGACGAACATTATTGCGTTCAGCATGATCTTCAGGCAGTCTACCATGCTTTATAAAGTTAATGATAGGCTCTCTCCAATCTTCCACCGGCTCGATTTTCGCACATATTGAGTCGAAGAACTCCTACTCCTGTTTCTGAACGTCAGCTCCGTGACTCTGTGTCATTTCCTGCTCGACCTTAATAACTTCTTTGGCTAATAAAAGTGCCCCGAATGGATAAGGTGGACACTCAGGGAAGAGAATTTTCTCATCATCCGCGTCCACTTCGGTTCTCAATTCAATGTGTCTCCACTCTGCTACCCAAATGGGCGTGGGCCCTGGGGAGGACAATTGAATGGTAGCTCCAAGCTTTGCGAGTGCATCAGCCTACGAGTTTATCCTCCTGAGGATATGGCTTAAGGATACATCATCAAATTGAGCCATATACGATTTTGCGGTATCTTGATAGGGCTTAAGAGTGTCTTTTCTCATGTCATAGATCCCCTTGAGCTGCCGTATCACCAATTTAGAGTGGCCGTAGATTTGAGCTGCTCTAAGTCTAGATCCAGGGTGATCTCCAACGCGATAATAGGGCCTTGATACTTTGTTTCGTTATGGGAATCAGCTTCGGCGAGAGAGAAGAATAGAGGAAGTACCCCTCCTTTCGAAGTCAGGAATACCACTCCGGTGCCTCCTCGATCGGATTGGAAGGCTCCGTCGAAGTACATCTCCCACGCGTGAGCAAGTTCAGTGTAGAATACTTCTTCATCGGGGAGATCATTTGACAAGGGAGATTCTGTAGGGACTGGATGCATTGCAAGAAAATCAGCCAAAGCTTGACCCTTGACGGCCTTTTGTAGTACATATGTGATGTTGAATTCCATCAGCAATAATGCCCACTTAGAAAGGCATCCCGAAAAGAATGGGCGTGTCATGAGAAACTTTACATGGTCTGCTTTTGAGATAAACTTTACTTCATGACCAAGCAAGTAATTACAGAGCTTTTGTACCATGAAGATTAAGGCCAAGCACATCTTCTCGATAGGGGGATGATTCTTCTCAGCCCCTGGCACCCTGCAGCTGAGCTAGTATAGCACGGTCTCTTTCCCCTTGTCATTGTTCTGCGCCAATAGTGCCCCGAGTGACTCGTCAAGAGCAGCCACATACAGGATGAGAGGTTTTCCCAACACCGGTGTAGAGAGCACTAGAGTATTGAGTAAATACTACTTGATGTCATCAAGCACCACTTGACATGCTTCATCCCAGATGAATGGGGTATCCTTCTTTAACAGGTGTGTAAAAGGCTTACAGCGACCTGAGAGGTTCGAGATGAACCTACATATATAAGCCAGCTTCCCTTGAAGGGACCGTAGCTCTCGCAATGTAGTTGATGGCGACATTTTCAAGATTGCCTTGATCTTGACTGGCTCAATTTCCAGCCCTCGGTGTCTAAAATTGAAGCCCAAGAACTTTCTAAACTCATGCTAAAAGCGCATTTCAACGGGTTCATCTTGAGCTGATGAAGGCGTAACCATTCGAACACCTTTTAAAGGTCTCACATATGAGCATCTTTCCTTTCAGACTTCACCAGGAAGTCATCCACATAAAATTCCACCTCCTTGTGCATCTTGTCCTTGAAGATGGTCGTCATTGCTCTCTGATACGTAGCACCGACATTCTTCAACCCGAAAGGCATCATCTTGTAGTAGAAGACCCCTTTTGGAGTCAAAAATGCGGTGGCTTCCTCATCTTCTAGTGTCATCCATATCTTATTATACCCGGAGTATCCATCCATGAAGGAGAAGATATGGCAGTGAGCTGTGGAGTCAATAAGCATCTCTGTAAACGGCAACGGGAAGTCATCCTTCAGGCAAGCGACATTCAGGTCATGGATGTCGATGTAAACCCGAATTTGGCTGTGTTTCTTCTTGACTGGTACAACATTCGCCAACCACTTTGAGTACTTGACTTCACGAATGAAGACTGCTTGCTTGAGCTTGCTCACCTCAGCATCGATCTGCATTTCGAGATCAGGCCTGAACCTCCTTGATTTCTGCTTGACAGGCTTGACGGATGGATTGATGCCGAGATGGTGGACTGCGACTTAAGGATTTAAACCAGGCATCGCATGGCAATGCCAGACAAAGACGTCCCAATTTTCTCACACTAAGGTAGTAAAATTCTCTTTCTCCTCTGGCGACCTATTTGCTGAGATGAAAGTGGGCCTGGGGTCGGCTTCATCCCCTAGATTTATCTCCTCGAGTTCATCGATCATGGCTTGACTGCCTTCTTCCCATTCTTCTGGGGCCTCCTGTACCTCCTCATCATTGGCTTCGGAGGGCTTCTCGTTAATCTCCAGTGAAGACACCAATAATCCTTACATTTCTTCTTCTAGCCAGGCTTTGCTATGGAACGTGGCTCTTGCATCCTCATCTTGTTTGCCGATGAAAGGATCAACTTTGAGCTGGGCCGATGTATTTGGTTGAAGGCATTCACTCTGAGGTACCTGGAATGGTTGCGACTCAGTGATTGTGTAGACAGCTAATGCCTCATGAGGACCTTCTCGATGTTCCCCTGTATCCACCATGAATCTAGATAGTATGGTAAGTTGAGGGTCAGGTTTAGGTGGAGGATGTTTATTTTGGCCTGCTGGCTAACTTGGTTGTGCAGCTAGCTTGGTTTGGGCAGTCTGGGTGGATTGGGTGACAGGGATTTGTTTTCGTGGAGTGGAGGTTTGAGGTTGAGACATAGGAGGTGGTTGGGTGTATGGGACCAGAGGCATCCCAAGGAACTTGAGGATGGGTGGATTGTCTAGGGTATTTGGGCAAGGAAGGAGTGGTGGACCAGGAAACTTCAGAACCTTTGGCCTCTGAGGTAGAGATTGCAGCGTCTTCCCCGATCTCAGGCTCATTTGCCCCATGCTGAGTGATATTTCCAAGATCTGCACAATGTGACAGACTTCCTGAGTATAGAAGGTATGTCCTCTTGATTCTCTCAACCTCTACTCGAAGTTAGGCTCAGGAGGCCACCAGGGTTTCTTCAGTTTAGACCTCTTGTGCTTCTCAGTGGAAGAAGATGGATTTGCCTTGGCTCCAGAAGCTAGGGCCTCAACAACTGTTAAGAATCTGACCGCTTGGGTCAGAGACTTTCTTAGCCGCCTCCAGTGTGACTTGCTGATATTAGTTCCCTCGAGTTCACTATCAAGGTCCTCGAAGTCTGTACATTTTCGGATTGTACCTACAATAGTTATAGAAGAGGAAGGAGAAGAACAAGAAGAGGAAGAAAGGGGTTAGTAGGTGAGGGATCTTATTCTTCCAGCGAGCAGCCCTTGGCACCCATCTCCTCCTGGTTTCCTTTGGAAGTGCTTGATCCAACTTGCTAGGTTTGTGAGCAGCCTTAGCTTGATGAATTGCCTCTCGCTTTAAGGACTTTATTCTGCTTCGCCCGTGATAGACTCTCCAAGGCTGAGAAGTCGACGGTTCAGTCGGATCGGAGGAATCATCATGAGAATCTTGCACTGAAACACTCTCTTGGATGGGAGTACTGACATGCGGGTGTTATTCTATAACGGCGTAAGCGATGTGACCTCTCCGCACTTTCTTCGTAACCACAGCTTAGAACCCATAGCATTCGTTCAGCTTGTGGCCCCATATCTGATGGTACGGGCACCAGTAGTTCTCTGTTCCCTGAGAAAGGTACTTGGGCTGCCTCGCCAGCTTTGGTGTGACGAGTCCTTGTTGAAGCATCATACTGAATAGAGCCTAAAGGATATCTGATGGTAGCTCATCGGAAGAGCACGGGCCTTCGTCTTCCTCTTGTACTGTCACCGCATGGCAGGCCTCAGCTGCCCCGAATGCTTTCTTAAGTTCTTCGAGCTTTATCTAACCCTTTTGGATCATAGCCTCGATGAAGTCTTTGAGTGTGTAGCATTCCTCTGTGGGGTGGCTTACCCTCTGATGATAAGCACACATGTTTGCATGCGTATCAAGACCAGCTTGATCAGGAAACTTGATCTCAAGCAACTCAATGATATTCTGCTCCAGTAATAGTCAGAGTAGTGCAGGAACCCATTCCTTTTCAAAAGGATAGACCTTGTTCTTATGCTTGGCCCAATACTCATTTCGATTAAGGTTTGTAGGTGAGGGTACCCGGTTGTATGACTGCTGCTGCTTGCCTCCCTGAGGCACCGTTTGTATCTTTGTTGTGCATACCCCTTGGGAGAGATCCAAAGTTTGAGGGGCAGCCTTCTTCAAATCACTAACAGTGACGGCCGCACTGATTACCCCTATTTGTTGATTGTCGAACGTTGGTCCGAGAATTACCATTGCCCCGGTTGTTTCCCGAGCTTGAAGAATGTTGACGTGACCCACCAAAGTGGCATGACAAGCTCTCTATGCGAACTGATTTAGAGATCAGCTCTGACATGAAGGTCGGATTGGAGGCCTCTCAACATGTAGGGCAATCTCAGGTCGCATGTTTTGTATACAGGTCTAGACTGCTTCCTTCTCAGACATGGGATTGGAATGATAAGCAGCCAAATCCCTCCATCTTGCTATGAACTAATCTACGTGCTCATCTGACTCTTGGGTCAAGGTGAGAAGCTCGATGGTTTGGACCTCTCTCTCGACTTCATATAAGCCCTGGTAGAATACTCGCTCCATTTCCTCCTAAGTATGTACTGAATTTGAGGGAAGCCGAGCTGTAACAATCCTAAACTTTCAAAAAAAAAAAAAGAAAATAAACTTTTAATACATGATGATTCGTTTGAACATGATGGTGTTTAGGGACCATCGCTACTTTTCAAAGCTTTTCGTTTAAAAGCTTTGTGTTTCCTTGCTCTTGCCACGTCCACTAAAGGACGTGGGCTTTAGGTGTTTAAAGCGTAAACTAACGCTCACACCTGTAACGTAATAAAAGCTTGAGGTGTTTAAAGCGTAAACTAACGCTCATACCTGTAACGTAATAAAATAATAAAATAATATGTTAGTAGAATTTAAATTCAGAGAGGTGAAGACTCCTACCTTAGAAAACTTTTGAGATTTTTTCTCAGGTCGAAACAGTGAACTCCTCTCTCAAGCCGAATTTTTATCGGAAGCTCCCTCTCAAATATTTGTGAGTAAGTGACATCATCTTCCTGAAAAATAATCTGTTTAATAAAAATTGTGATATTTTATCTATGTTAGAAATTTTGAATGCTGTAAATTATGAAAAATAAATTTATTTATTTTTCTTGTTTAATGTTAGAAATAAATGTGATATTTCTGCTTTTAGTAAAATTGTGATATTTCTTTCTACTGTTTTGAATATTTAGACATTGTAAAATTCATGTGCATATGACTGCCTTATTATTTAAAAATTGACATTTTTGCAATTGATTGTAGTATTGTTTTGAAATGTTTATTTGTGGAATGATATCCCATAAATTGTGATAATTCCGTATTCTTGAATTTCTATAAGAGTTTTTCTATACATATTAAATTGGCAATTATGCTAGAATGCCTTTACAAACTGCTACCTTTCTAAATTTGAGCCCAAAATATTTTATTGGTTATTTTTGAAATGTTATAGAGAGTGACTGTTATCAATGGTTTAAGTGAAATTCATATTAATGATTTATGATATGTTGAGTACATGATATTGCTGCTTTCGAATGTATATGTTGAGTACATGATATTGTTGTTTTCGAATGTTTAAAGAGATTTAGAAATAATTTAAGTATGCAAGTGGACTCATCCGGTTCGCCGGTGAGGTATAAGTGGACCTATCTGGGACGCCGGCAGGGATTAAGTGGACCTATCTGGGACGCCGATAGTGATGAAGTGGACCCATCAGGACGCTGATGGGGTATATAGGTGACCTAC